CTTACTCAGACTTGGCTAATGAGGGAGGCAGGGCAATCCCAAGACATTCTGTAGCTGAAGGAAAAGGACAAGTCACCTCTCGGTGTATAGACAGTGATTGACAGGGTGCCATCCTCCAGCCTGCAGTGACTCTAGAAGCCAGCCAAATACCTATGAACCTCTTGATGTCAGTGTGAAATCCACTTCTGTTTCAAAAATTTAACATGTGAAACTTAGCTTATTGCCTCTTCCCTTAGCAAAGCTCCTTTTGAGCATATTCTGAACATTTGTTTTCTGGTGCTATCGCTGCTTCCAGCACAATCTTGAGAAGTGCAGAACATGTCATGAAGCATACAATGATTTGATCCCCAACAGAGCACATATGAGGAAAAAATGTCCGTGGTTGATCCTGCTGGCCTCCTCCTTTTAGCATCTTGCCTCCTGAGCTAGACCCAGCTCTGGAGGGAAGCAAATCATTTGGAACCTGTGAATAGATACATGTTTGAAGGAGATCAGTAGTTAGAAGGAGCCTCAAATCATATTTAGCAGCAAAGCAGAAGAGACCTAATGGTATAATTGGGTCATATTTTCTTATTTTGTTGGTTGCTGGTTTGTTTTTTACTTGCATATGTATTATATGATATCTAACTGAATTTATTGTGGCAGTTACAAATTTGCTACTACCACTACTGCTATTAGTAAATGCTTCTGGCTGCAAAGGCCATTTGTATATATAACAGGAGAACTTCCACTGAGCTGGGGAGACCAACACCTACATTAACATGCTTTGGTCTACCATCAGTTGTGCCTGAGAAAGCCTTAGTTCTTGATCTGGAAGTCTACACATCTAACATAGTTTATTAGGCTACATTTGTCCATTTGGTATATACTATTTTCTTCAAACATGGGTTTTCTTTTAATTATTTCTCTGTTAAAAATAGGAGGTTTTGTTTTCCTTGCTTTCTCATAGCTATTTTGGGATCTAGACTATAAGGTCATTTGTTCCACACTTTCAATAGCTGTATCTTGATTCTTTTAACTCCTAAGCACTTAGATTTGAGATAGATAATTACGTTGCTTAATAGTAAATTGCACTGCAACATGCCCAGAGGGATCTGAAATAAAAGGTATTTAAAAATCTACCATGTTAGAAAAGCAAGATAATTTCAACTAATGAGATTATCAAGGATAATCAGTTTACAAAAGCCCATTATGAGCAGATTCATTGATGTCTTAAAACAGAAAAGAAGAATCCTATTTATTTTTTTAAACAAATTGCTTTTTCAAATGGAAATAGGCTGTTTCCCATTACCTTTTATTTGATGATTTTTGTAGCCCCATCTGCTGTCCAGTTTTGGAAATATCTGGTTTAGGATATATGAATATCTAGATATATAACTTACTGATAATGTGCAGGAAATAAAATCTTACAGGGGTTGTATCAGTTTCAGGTGCTAAGCAAACTTGTAACACCAAAGCATTCTGGTATGCAAAGATGTTGCATGTCTCAATTTTCCTTGTAATGTGGAAATCTATAATGGGTAACTATTTCTAATGATTATTTAACAGAAAAACAGTTGTACTTATAGTTGAAGCACTTATGATAAAAATGTAAGTTCTTCTCACTTTTACTTAAACTGGACTGGGTAGATTGTATTTTTCTCCTTTCTGAGTCCAACTTATTTTATACTTGTACAGATATTAAAACTATGTGGGAGAAGTATTGTGTAAGAGAAGCCACATTGCTTGCAAGAAAAGGTAAAAGTCAATGGTATTTTATATTTTGCATTTATATAATTTATAACTGGAACCCATAGAATTGATCAGTGTAACATGGAGGGGGTCATCCATTGGCTTGGTGAGGTATCATTACTATGCCAACAATATACATTACCATCCCAGGCCAGGCTATAGATGCTGTGGAAGTCTTGAACTAGGGACTGGAAGGAGAGAAACAAGTCAGACTAAAGCCCAGTAAGATGGAGATGCTGGTCATCCAGAAACATCTTGGCTATCTGGAAACATTGATCCCAGTGGTTGTTCTAGATAGGGTCAAATTTCTCTTGAAGGAGCAGATCAGATTTGAGAGTCCTCCTGGACTCAATGTTCCCGCTGAACAGCATTTGGAGACTGTGGCCAGAGTGGTCTTTCCACAGCTTCAGTGTGTTAGTTATGGCCCAACCCAGACCAGGGAGACCTGGTAATGGTAACTTACATTATGATATTCACTCAGCTGCACTCTGTGCAGGACTGCCTTTGAAGACAACCCCAAAGCTGAAGCTGGTTCAGAATACAATAGCCAGATTTCTAGCTGGGAACCCACCATAGTCTATAGAGTAACTATACTCTTATTCTGCATTCACTCTAGTAGTTGCCAATAGGTTTCTGAGTCCAATTCAAAGTTTGTTTGTTTATTTATTTATTGAATGTATATAGCTTCCCATCTCACTTGCAAGTTCTGGTTAGAAAGCCCTGGTGACATATCAGAGACTGCCTTACTAAATATGATTCTGCTTATTTTGTTTTGACATATACGGAGGGTCTGTTTAAGGTTCCATCCTGAAGGAAGACAGGTGTGAACCAGAAGGCAGGTCCCTATTGTAATAAAATACATTGAACCCAAGAGATACTCCAGTTCTCTTTAGTATTGACATTTCAAAAAGCACTGACAACTGTTGTGTTCAGTGGGCCTTTGGCCCCCATGACAAATTGTGAGTAACCAGGTAGCTTTATGTAAGGATATAGCATATTTTTGTACGCTGCCCAGAACTCAGGTTGTTCAGGTATGTATGTTATAATTTTGTTATACCATGTTGCCTTGTCTGTTTCAAGTGGAGCAATGAGTCTCACAAACACTGGGGCCCTGATTCAGCCTGACATTAATTCAGCTTCCAATTATGATCAGAACCGCTGCAAAACAGTGCCCTTGTACTGCCCAGACAGATATTATATTGAACATTATTGACAGACCAAGCAGAACAGAATCCCTTCACATCTACTTTCCAATGTAGGCCATGTATTGTAGCTGTTTCTGTCTCAAAATGGCTGAACACAGGATGGAAAGACTCCAGATGACCAGTTTCATCTACTTCCACAGTAATTCCTTTAACAACTACAATTTTGTCCCTCTGCTCCCCCCAAAACACATGCTTACCCTAATTTAAAATACCTCAGAACAAGGTTACCTATAACTCAATCTTAATTCAGCTTTGGTCTTCTGATACAGCTATGCTGTAAGTATTTTATTGTTGTTTTTATTGCTTTAATGATTGTGCTCCCTCTGAGATCCATTGATGGAGGGAGGGTTATAAATATTTTAAGAAATATTAAATACATATGCAGTCAAGATCTCATATAAAGAGTTCGCTACTTCTACAGAAACATGAGTACAATGGCAGAACACTACAAAATACAGCTGCAGAAATAACGAGCAAATTTGAGATAAGTGGGAGAAAAGAGAATGAAATTTAACCTTGAAGCTGCTCTCTTTATTGCAGATAGAAGAAAACAAATTGAGAATGAAGCATGCTATTCTGAGTTTGCCATCTTTAGTTTAGACACTAAAGATAAGAGAACCAGCTATTTTTGGTTGTTACATTTCTGTTCTTTTTTCCAAGAATTCAGAAAACATACCTTAAATTCCTAGGCAGTTCTAGATAGAGCTGTATTTTCAGACTATTTTGGAGAACCTCTTCTATCGGAAGGCACAGTAGGTCAGAGGAAAGCTGTTCCCACTTGTTTTGGAACTCCCCTAAGCACAGGGAAATATAACTAACCATCAGTTACTGAGTTACCTTTCCCAGCTATAAATCCTATTACATGTATTTTGTACAGTAATACAATGCACACAATAAAATAGCTTTGCATTCTTCATTTATATCTAGTCTTTAAGAAAGCTACAATATTAGCATTCTTGGCATACCGAGAGCAAAAGGGAAAGAAGGTGGCACTGTGGTCCAGCAAGAGCCACAAAGCCTCTCAGATGTCATTGACAGAACTCAGTCAGTTTAGATAACTCTATTAATCACAATATCCTACAACCGTATTGGCTTATTCAGACACTTATTATTTGTGTAGGAGCTGTTTCACAACGGCACCGCTTTATTTATTTTAGCCCTGAGCAAAAGCATTGCACAAATACCTGCTGCACACCTATTAACCAAGCTCACAGGTAAAGCCTTGTTATAGTTCCTGAACATTTTCCTATCCCTTTATGATGATTTCAGAGATGGCTGTTCTGACCTTCTGCAACCTAAAATGATTTCAGACTTGTCTAAATAATACACATGTTCTGTCTTCTTTTGATTGAATGATGAATAGCACTTAAGAGTGATTGATTGGCTGGTGATAACATGGCCAACGTGTTTAGAATGGGTCATATTTCCCCCCCATCTCCTCTCTGAATCCTATGAATTTGTCCCATGTTTCTTTATTTCTTTGTCTCTGGCCACTGCAGCATGTTAACTTCAGCCAGTTGGCAAGAAAGCAATCCCTCTGGCACCGGTACAAATGCCATTTTGTGGATTGTCCATTAAGGGGGGAAGTACAAGGGAAATGTAGCTGATCCTTCCAAAACAATAAGCACATTCTCAGTATGAAGTGTGCTGTTTTGCTTATTCTAGGGTGTGAGCATGAGATCGTATTTGGCATTAAATGAGGATTTCCAATAGCATTTAAGCAATGATGTAAATGACAACCACCATACACTTTAATTATATATTTAGTTTACTGTTGCTGAGCTAAGTAATGCTACATCAAACTGATTCATGTAGAATTATATATGCCAGTCTACCTCTGTTAAAAAAAAAAAATCAGAATATTTTCTCCCACTCTTCTTTTCGTAAACCTTGTTCTTAATCTGAATACCAAATGTACTCTCTAACTCTAAATGAAATTAGTAGGAAAGAAAGTCCCCTTGACAGGATATTTATTTCCAATAAATACGTTTACAATCATAATAGGAGAACATCTGTTTATTATGTAAAGAAACCATTGTATTAAATATCTTCAAAGAAGCTTTTTCTTTATCCATTTGGAAACAACTTACTTAACATGGGTTGAACTCTCTGACTCTGCCCTAGCTGTGTTACCCTCCATAACTAAAAGACAAATATATACAGTGGTTTTTACAGAAAAGTTTCTGCATTATAGATTATTGGTTCCAATTCATGGAAGCTAACAAGAATGGTGATGGATAATGGTCAAAGTGAGCTTTCTTATTCTGGCTGTCCGTCATATGAATCATATTAAATGGCTGCATGGGTTAGAAGTGACAAAGTGACTTAAATTACAAAGAGGACACAATTCTGGAATTGTGAAGGTTCTGGAGAAAGGCAAAGTCCAGCACATACCCTTATAAAATATACAGAACAAAATGGATTTTGGTTCTCATAGCTTTTCAAAGGCTTAATAACTATATTAAGTAACCCGCAGAATATACCCTTGAGACTTATATATTAGGGTTAAATAGATCTTATTTCTACCTTTTTAGTTTATTGGTCCAAGCTACCACACCTGCCTGAGAGCAGGCTTTTGAAAAGTTTTGCTTAGTTTAGACAATGTAAATCAAATCCGGTAACTGAACTTCTGAGTGTCGAACATGAAAGCTAATGCCTCACTTCCATGACTTGGTAATTAGATATGGAGAAATGAAAATACATTGACACAAATGATTCTTAAAGATACTTGAACTCCACCTAGTATAATATTCAAATAAACAGTTTGTATAAATCTAAGGCATATATTAGGAGCTTGATTATAAGTGCATGTTATTAGCAAAACTACCATAAATTTTCCAGAAGAAAAGCTAGTCATACCTGAACCAAACCATATGCCACTAAGTTTTTAGAGGCATACTTGTGTTGTAAGAAAGTTGTTTTAAAGTTGCAGAATTATACCCCTATATTAATCCATGATCTTTATACACAGCTTATCTATGAATATTTCAGCCATAACACTAAATTGCAGCTGGTTTTGAATAGGTAACTTAGCACTTTGGGGAATTCCCAGGTGCAGTATAAGTTCAGTGGAACCTTACAAGTGGTACAGCTTATATTTCTAGGCATCAATTATATGGGTTCCTTGATTCATGGACACATAAATAGACATATCAACTACCCCTCAAGGGAATAATGCAATATTCTTTATGATTGGAAAATATTATCAAAGGTCTTAAATTAGGTAAGTGGGCATCAAAGATATGCATTTCAGCTGAAAGCAAAGGGAGGAATCACAAATAATGGCTTCAGTTGCAAAAGGTATTACGAGTTCTGAAAGCAGAAAAGAGAAAGGGAGGGGGGAATTCTGTGGATATAACATTTCTGCCAGCTACACACTTGTTGTTCTACAAACTGCCCCAGATGAACAGGAGCAGGGAGAACAACAGAACGGCTGTTTTCCATAGCGAACGCTTGGAAGATGCAGGTTTTCACCACCCCTTATTTGTGCTCTGGTTTTTTAAAAGAAACCCAGAGTCGGTGCAATGCTTTCCTCTACCCACTCCACTTTTCAGAATTTGGGGTTCCCTATGCTATCATTAGAAGTAGGTATATATTTGGGTTTATCAACTTAGTAGCTATCCTCAGTTATAAGAGAAGAGGGCATTTCCCCTTGGCTGTTTTTGTCATTTGGCAGTTAAAATGCACACAGGAAAACACAGCGCAGAATATGTTCCACCTTTTTCAGCATTTGAAACTCACAGCCATTTAGCAGTTGATTAAGAAGGGTGCAGATATTCAAGATGCCCCCCCCCCCCACTATTCAGAAAAAGATTCTGTCACATGTACCATGTTTAATCAGCAAGAGTGCCTCTCGAAAGACATACATTTGAGGAAACATTTAGCAAGCAGCAGAGTACATTAGTGTCACAAACACTTTATGCTACCGAACAGGCTAGCCAGTGTGGTTATCCACAGAAGTTACCCAGATGAACTGAGTGAAAACATATAGTAGCAACAGTGCGTGTGTATAAAGGTGTCACGTCTTAGAGAAAAGAAAGGTACGTGAAGCAAAAGAACAAAGATGCAATTGGAATGAAGTCAAACTCTACATTTAATGCTGATGACCAGACAAAGAGAACATTATATGAATCATACGCATTCATACCTTTTGGGCTGATTCTCCATGAATTTAGGAAATTCCTTTCAACCTAAGGGCAGGTCAGCTTTGTAGATTTCTGCAGCAGCAATAACAGATGCATTATAGAACTGAAGTGTGTGGGAGTGGGTGTGAGATTTCCTCCTGAACTACAATCTCTATGCATGTTTATTATTTTTTTTTTTAAGTGCTTCATTTGGGACTGCAGTTACTTAGAGACTGGAGACAATCTTAAGTAAACACTGCTGACATTTAGATAGTTAAGGGATGCTATTCAACTGACAAACAATGGTTTGTTATTATTTCCATAACAATTCACAGCTGCAATGTCATTCTGGAATAAAGTTAGGGGTAGGTTGATTAGAACTGTCCTTTTGTTTTAGGAAATGTGCTTATTCTTATTTATTAGTTCACTCTTAATTTTATTTATATACACACACACACACACACACACTGTTACAGAAATCCTGCTTTTACAGCTGAGTTTTGCGGCAACACTTCGAAATTAAAAATAACAGCAACAACATCGTAACAGAAGCAAGCTAATATAAAATCAACATGGGAGGGATTTTCAACACAGGATATTTATTTTTTAAAAATAGATACAGATACACTAGAAACCTCTTGCAATTAGGGAAAGTTATCAAATAAGTTTTCAAGACTCTCGAAGACCTCTATTAGCAGAAGCTTAGCTTTCAGAAAGGGTAATATAAAATCATGCCTGCAATCATCAAACTACTCATAAACCAAAAAGTGGTGGGTGGGGGGAATCTCAACCCTCAAATAAATTCTTGTTTGGTTCTCTTCATGTAATATTGTTCCCTGGTGTTAATTACATTTAAATGGGAGAGTCCTATTTTGGTATCATTCATTTGCCTTGAAAAGTACTTCCCAGTTTATCATACCTGTCAACCCCTGTGCATCACAGGCTAATACTTTATTAAGAAAAAAAACCATTGGGGAGCTGCTGATCCCATTTAAGTACATTGGGCAGAATGTACAACTAATTAAAAAGCATATTTTACATTATTAATTTTTGAGTTTCACTTAATGAATGTGAAATGACAAGGCTACTATTTTTATATTCAAGATCTCTGGGCTTTTTAGTCGAGGGAATTAAATTCTACCGATTTTTACAAAGATGTTGCTCCAGAGATTTGTTGTCAAAGAAGCTCCACTTTTTTAGTTACGTCTTTTTTTTTTTTTTTAGGATAGCAGAGAAGAGTTAACTAGATGTTGTTGTTGGGTCGTTGTTGCTTTCAGCCAGAACGATAAAAGTACTTTAGATGAGGTATAAAATATGGTTTTTAAATTATATTATGATTTGCAAACACTAAAATATAATTGCAGTGCAGTTGAGAGAGCACAAAAACATCTAATCTTTATTATGTAAGACAATGTGATAAAATATTTTACAGCCAAAAGCTCATTTTGCATCTGGAAAATTGTATAAACTGATATGTGGGGAGGGGAGGGGGTGGGGGAATCTCATTAAAACTCAAGTTTTTTTTTTTTAATATTCTTAAAATAAAGCAATAGACTATAATTGCAGTTTTTCTCCTACTCAGACTTTATTAAATTGCATAACTGTACAAATATCTAATATTCTCTTTAAAGCAAGGCATAAAATAAGGAGGACTGCATGGTTCGGCAGGTTGATGTGAAATGATGCCAGATTTTTTTTAAAAAATAATATTGTTTGGGTATGGTGTTACATGCTACAAACCTTTGTTGTGTGTGTTGGATTCAAGTGCAGTGGTACAGTTTTTAGTAAGCAGCATTAGATGTTGTGTTATTTAAAACTTTGCCAGGTGGAGGCTGGCACTGTACTGCGTTTGAGCACCACATAATAACACATTTTTATAGGGCTGTGGAGGGGAAGAGACTCAATCTTTTTTTCCAAATGTGCTTACAATTAGCTCTCTGTATTTTTATTGTCTTTTTTTCTCCTAACCACAAAACTCACACTGGAGGCAAAGCTTAACGGCTGAGCTTTCCTCATGTAAATACTAGGAAATTACATTTGTACAAACTGCAGGACTTCGTCAAGGAGGGCTGGAGCGACTCCAAGGCAAATTAATCAGGATAAAGTTGCTCTCTGTTCAACATGACCATAGTTTATTTTCTGAAAGTATTAATTTGTCAACAGTTTTCCTGCTTTGCTGTGACTCATGTGAATGGCATTCAAGGAAGACCCAGATTCAGCCCTTCCTGATCTACCTTGTACTTTCACAGATGCAGTTCCAGCAATTTAAAACACTACATGGCTGAATTCCCAGCATATGACTTTGTGCAAAATGCCTGAATTTTTTGCAAGGATATGAACACTGCTTTTGAAACCAGAAAACAGTGTGTCCTCCTTTTAGAAAAAACATTTCAGACACATGCCTAATTTACTTGCCGTAATGCTATGTATTTTAAACTGACGTTTTAAAATGGTCACAGATACTCTGCCCTAAGTAAACAATTTTCTAAATGAAAAACAACAATTTTAAATCCATTCTCTTACTGCTGTCTTCCAGATGACACCACATTATTTCTAACTGTAACCTGCTCCCCGCAAGCAACGATTACAATTCATTGTTCTGTTTGTAGAATGCAGAAAAATGCATAAGGGGATCAGTTTTTAGACTTGCCAGAGCTCTTTCTCTGCCAAATGTCATAATGACTTGTCCACAAAACAAATCTTACTTATGACTGGTAGATACTACAAGGAAATGCAGAATTCTTTCAAAGGCTATTGCAAGTGCAAATATTCTTTCGGGGTTCTGATCCTCTCTTGGTTTTGATTTCTATTTTTCATGTACATGAACAATTTTATTCAAATTAATTGATACCGTCCAATCCTAATTTATCTTATGATGGTAGCTAACTTTTAATACTTGTATAATTGGGGCTGATTCAGCATGGGGAAGCTCAAAATATTCATTTCACTAAATGATGCTGATTGTTTAATAAAGTCATCTCATTAGGAAGTGAAAATAAATTAGTATTAGATTTCTTCTCCCTCCCCCCCCTTTTTTTTTTTTTGCTGTTTGAACATCTCAGTTGTTCCCTCTTCTTTTAACATAGTTAGTATTAGCATATGGGCCCAAATAGTATTAATGCTGCCCTTCTTTTATTTGCTATGTTCACAGTTTTATTATTTAAGAATTCAGTTGTTGCCAAGTATTAATCAATATATTATGCTGCTCAGTTGGGCAAGCTGTATGAAAACATTGTGCCCCTAGGGTTAATACAGTCAAGAGCCAGAAAAGTGTTTTAGACATGTACACAACATGTGGTTTACTATTATCATTAAATGAGGTGAACTGGGACTTTATACATATGGATTTTGAATTGCATAAATTTTGATTGATATCATTTGAAGACTGAGACCCTGAAAGGGTAGATTTTGTGAAAGACGATATGCAGGCCAGCTATTACCACATACAATAGCACCGGAGAAAATCTCCGAAATGAGCAAGGCAGCTGGCTTTTAAATAGCTAAAACATAACATCAATACTTATTCTGAATAATGGAAAAAAGAGGTAAAAGATGTTGACCCCTGCCTGACAATAACATGTTCCAAAAGGAGAGCTGGCCTCTTGAGACCATTGCTTGCTCAACAGTAGCCCCTGTGATTTCCTCCCCCTTTCTCTCTCTCTGATTGCCCTTTCTCCCTCGCTCAAAAAGATAAATATTTTTTGAGCATTTAAACACTATAGACAACCATCCAGAAAAAGAATTTTCACAAATTCAGGAAACACTTGAGAGGTAAAACCAACATCCTGAGACAGGAGACAGGCCAGCTTTTGACACCAAGGCTGGACCTGGGAGGCCTAGAGAAACCTTTAGCCAGGAAGCTCTTGCCACTGAGGTCAGGACTTGAGGGACCATGCATGACGGCAAAAAGCAAGCAGAACTTTCCGTGCCCCATCAAATCCAACAGGCCTTTTCATGGGAAATTTGCTGAATTTTTGCTGATCTGCATTAAACATGTATGAGATTTAGGAGTAAAGAGCCTTTCCTTAACTTAGTGTGGATTACTAGTTCATGCCGTTTTTAAGTGGTGAATTATAACATATGCAGGAATTTGAAAAGTCTCCAAGGCCTTTAAACCCATTTTTCTCCTAACATGTGATCCATGCGGCAAATTATCAATACATCACTCCATGAGATTCATTCAATTTGCTCAGATTTGTTAAAACTTTATTCTGAGAGAGAGAGCACTGGATAATGCTTCATTCATTATTTATGCCCCATAAATGTATTAAAACATTAACCATATTTCTTTGCAATGGCATACTTCAATTCTCACAGGGGAGGGGGGAGAGAAGTCCAAATGTTTCTCCAACTGCTACTTTAGTTTCCCCAAGGAGTGAACATATTTGTGTTGTGTTACACCTTTAAGTGTTGATTAGGCTTTCATGTTATAGTGACGGAAGTGTCGTGCGGTGCTTCTCTTTAATGGGATAATAAGCAGCTTCAGTCACAAGAAGGAAATGTTCCTTTTCAAGTCAGTGGTGGCTAAAGGGTTTGTAGGTAAACACCAAAGATGCCTTCTTCTTGCAGACCAAGTGCTATGATAGCATTTAAAAGAAGAACAAGAACCCAAACATCAGCCAGGTAACTTAGGGACCTGCTGTAAGAAGAACCAGGCAGCTCTGAAACGTCACCCTCACACAATTTTTTAAAAAACATTTTGGGTGCTGTGACACCCTTGTCATATTGTCCTTTTACTTATCCATTTGCACATGAAAAGAATTCCAGTCATTTAACTGAAACTGTTGCAAAAACAGCAAAAAAGTTTGGTTTCTTAAAAAAATCCAAATAGTTCTAATTTCTGCCTTGTGACAATTCAACACAAGTTACTGAAAACTGCATTCTTCGCCTTTGCTTCTTTTTGAAAGGGTGGGGAAGAACTTAATGGTCAGGAAGCCTTCTATCGCATTCCTCCCCCAACCACCCCAAGTATCATTATTGGATAACAATTGGCACAAATATTATGGTGGGGAAAAGGCCCATAAATCAAGAAATAAAAAAAAATAGTTACTGCACATTTTCAAAAAAACACGTTGTGCTCTCTAAGGTCCTTTTCATTTTAACCAAAT